GTTTCTTCTTGTTAAAAGCGTGTTTTTCCTCTCCACTGTCGCTACAAGCATGTTGATGCAATCAACTGGTTTTCCTTAGATAGAATTTGAATCAATCTGACTGGATGATCTGGTAAACTGTAAAGTGCCTTGAGATGACATTTGTTGTGAATTGGTGCTATAGAAATAAAATGAATAGAATTAAATTAATCACTTAAGATTAGTCAAATAAGGTCTGATATGTCATCAGTCTAATATGGTTGTGGTAGTGAGACAGTAGTTGAGAGAGTAATATGAGCACTGAGATTCTAAAAGTGAAAATAACTCTTGTGAAATAGAGAAAAAAAAAAATGGTTGACATCCATTCCAGATAATATAATGATGCAATCATTCACATGTAGATACATTTTTGGTACCCCTTGCTTAATGGAAGAAAAACACAACAATGGTCACAGAAATAACTTGAATCTGGCAAAATGGAATTTAAAATTGCGTAATCATTATATAGTTATTAGAGGAGACATTCAGACACAACCATTGGACTTCTCTAAAGGGGCCTCTAAAAGCCCTAAAACTAATCCTACCCAGCATCTTTGGAAACCAGCAGCCTTCCAGCCGCAGACACCTGGATCAGTTAGCTGACTGAGTGGAGATACCATTGGTATACCACGTCTGTTTAGAGTAGGGTCACATCTAAGAACCAACCAGGCTAAATAGCACAACTACAATTAAGTCCTCAGCACAGACATGTCCTTCAGAGTAATGCTGATGACGAAGCAGATTTCAGGATGTTGAGAAAGAGGCTTCTAGAAGTTGTAGACCAATGATCCTTGGTTTGGAGTTTGACACCAGAAAAAACCATTGATCTGGTGTTTACCAATATATTTGTGTAATGTTAATGCACGGAATGGAAAATGTTATTTCATGGAAATTACAGCAAAGCTGAATTTGTTCTGTCAATGAATGAGGTGGAGAGTCAAAAATATAACTTGTTAGGTTGCCAGTGGTGGCTTGACAAGTGTTAGTAATGACAGTCTGATGTATTGACTGTTATAATTCAACTATAATTTCCTACACATGTCATCTCAAGGATCTTTACAAAGAAAGTTCAACCAGATCATCCAATCAGGTTGGTTCAAAGTTTTCTATCTAAGGTAAACCAGCTGATTGGATCCAGTCATTGATTTTGCAGGATCTTCTCCTCCTGAAAGTGCAGCTAGAGGCATCCTCCATTGTTTTGCTGACTCTACAGCAATCCCTCACACTAAGCATGCACGCAGTAACAGTGGAGAGGAAAAAAAACTACTTTAACTGGAAAGGATGAAATGTCAAAGGGATGACAGAGAGCACACCCAGTTAGTCGCAGTAAAACCTGATTACATAACTATGTTCAGGAAAGAAACAGGACTAAATACTAAAAATAAAGGAAGTTGTTGACGGTGGCAGCCCAGCTGATGCCTGTTTTCAGGATAGTGTTACATCATATTGTTACAAGGTTTTCAATGTTCTGGACCATTTAGACACAAAGAACAGCTGTTTACTTAGTTTACGTTTCTACACTAAACACATCCGTTATTAGAGTTTGGTCACCATCTTTCAGGGTAAACAGTCTATCCTGCATAAGCCTGGAGCAGCCTGGATAGACCGTGGGAAGCATGTCCAGTTCAGCCCTCTGGCCCTGCTGCTGGATTCTGCTCTTGAGGGGGAATTTGACCTGGTCCAGAGAGTCATCTATGAGGTACGTTACTGTCCTGTCCAGAGCCCTAGGTTCCACCCATTGACTGACAGACAGACAGACAGACAGACAGACAGACAGGGAAACAGACAGACAGGGAAACAGACAGGGAAACAGACAGACAGAGAGACAGGCAGAGAAACACAGAGACAGACAGACAGACAGAGAAACACAGAGACAGACAGACATGCAGACAGGCAGACAGACAGGCAGGCAGGCAGACAGACAGGCAGACAGACAGAGGGACAGGCAGAGAGACAGACAGACAGACATACAGGCAGACAGACAGATAGGCAGAGAGACATTACAGATAGCTGTTTTTCATGCAGGTGGATGATGCCAGCAGGCCTAATGATGAAGGAATCACAGCGTTGCATAATGCTGTGTGTGCCGGACACTTTGAGATCGTTAAGTTTTTGGTCCAATTTGGTGTCAACGTCAATGCTGCCGACAGCGATGGCTGGTGAGTCCCATCTTTAGCGGTGAGCATTACCACCATCTCCGTGGTCATTTGATGGCGTTGACTTTAAGCTAAGATCTTCTGATTTAAAACAGTCTTTTCCACTTTTAGGACTCCTCTGCATTGTGCTGCTTCTTGCAACAGTTTCCAGATTTGTAGGTTTCTGGTGGAATCTGGGGCGGCTGTGTTTGCAGCCACATACAGTGACATGCAGACTGCAGCTGACAAGTGTGAGGAGATGGAGGAGGGCTATGCACAGTGCTCCAAGTTCCTTTATGGTAGGATGTCTCACCTTCACTGAATAAAATATCATCACATGTTTTTATTGCTTCAGCTTTAAATAAGCTACATGGCCACAGCCTTAGGCTCCTTTACCTAAAATATGAATCCTTATCAGCAGAGGATTGATGAATGAACTATGAGTCTAGTATCCCATCCCTGTCTGTGCAGGCGTCCAGGAGAAGATGGGAGTGATGAACCGTGGGGTGGTGTACGCCCTGTGGAGCTATGAGCCTCAGCATCACGACGAGCTGGGCTTCAGTGAAGGAGACTGCCTGACGGTGCTGAGCCAGGAGGAGGAGAGGGAGTGGTGGTGGGCCCGATGCGGAGACCACGAAGGATTCATTCCTCGCAACCTTCTCGGGGTGAGCTTAGCTTATAGAAAGGAGGAGTTTGTGACTTACATGGGGAACCCTGAGGAGCCTGCTTGTTAAAGTGATAAACTCCATCCATCAGCACACCAGTTTAACCGCAGTTCATCAGATTTTACTTCACTGAAACTAACATTTAGATTAGGTTAGATTCAACTTTATTGCCATTACACAGGTACAAGGCAACGAAATGCAGTTTAGGTCTAACCAGAGGTGCAACAGCAGCAAGTGCAGGATGTACAATGCTACTATTAATAAATAAAACAGCAGCTTTCCAAATTAAAGTGCAGTGGAAGGTAATTGCAGTTATAGTACAGTATTGCAAATGTATATGTAAACAATTGTTACAGTAAATAAACAATCGGCAGTGGAAATCAATATTCCAGTCAAGGTAAGTGCATTTAAACATTCCTATAATAGAAGTCAGCAGAGCAAGTGAACATTATAGTATTGAAAATAACAGAATGGAGGCAGGTTTGAAGAGGGAGAGTCTATCATTAGGGTTCAATAAAGAGCCAGCTCTGGTCTGCTGGTCCTGGTCCAGAGGAGTCAGTAGGCTGGGTGGGACTTAATGATGCTGCAAGCTAGATGTAGGCAGCATTTCCTCCTTACTGAACAGAAACATTTTCATGATGGTAACTGTGAATAATCTTCCTGTAGTTGTGTTTGGTCGGGATCATTTATTCTGGGTTTATTATAATAATGAAAACATTTAAAACCCAAACTGACTGAACTCCAGATTTCCACAGTTTTCCAAAAGAAGGAACTTAAAATAGTTTTTATTAGAAGCTTTACACTAAACTGTGATGACATTTTTTTCTTTCTCAGTACTGTGATGTTAGGTAGATTGTGTTGAAATGTTTCCCCTCCCTTTAGTTTTGTACCAAAAATAAACTGAACTACCTCAACAGGCGTGTTTCCCTTTAGTCTTGTACAAAAAACAAAACAAGAAAACAATCTAATGTCTTTCTTTTGGTGTTTTTTGTTGGCGATCTGACCTTAAATATTTTTTCAAGTCTTTTTTTCGTACAAAACTAAAGGGATAAACGCAAACCTGACGTCTTGCGCATGCTTATTGACTATTGGTATGCTGGTCTAATCAGCCGATTAGGAGCAGGTGTGGGCAGGACCAACTAGAAGGAAGCCAAGGGGAAAGGAAACAAGCACAAGGGGAAATAAACTAACAAAGATACCGAACACAAATAAACTTAAAAATAAACCCAAGCAGAGGGCAAAACCATGACATTATGATTTAAAGGAAAAGTCCGGTCAGCAGGAAATAATCAATGGATCATTATCTCTATCTAAAACTAATACGTTCGCAGTGATTTAATAAATTTAGCATTAATCAGTAAAAGAAATAAAAACAGTAATTGTATTCACAATCACTGAGTCTGGGAGCGGCCATTTTTGCCCAAATATAGTAGCCCCTCCCTCCTGCCATCTTCCAGCAGTGACGTCACGGTGTGGTAAGCCTAGCGCCATTCTCCCGCTTTACAAACTAAATCAATGGGAACTACTAGACACATCTGCAATCAACAACAATTATTGAAGATTTCCAGAGGACTTCACCATTGAAATTCACCAGAGCTATAGTGAAACTGACAATGCCCACGTGCATGGCAGCTGGATGCTGGAATACATCGGGTAAAAATGAAAAAAAGAGTTATTCCACCTTTCTGATTCCTGATCCTCCACGGACGGGTTGGTCGTTGGATCGCCAACTTGAAGAGGGAGGATTTGCCATCGAACTTCTGGCCAGAGAAAAAACCCGTAATATGTAGCCAACATTTGGAAGAAGAATGTTTTCAAGATGACTTGGATAATAGCGCGTTGTGACAAACACCAGATACAGCACTGGGACTTGATCAACAGCCGATACCGCACCGTGACGTCACTAACCAGTAGGTGGCAGTAGTGTTCTTTGACAAACATGGATGCCTCCAGTAAAGCACATTCACATGAAAATTACTCTGAATTAAAAACACTGATCATTTATTGAACAGGATGGAATAATTTCATATTTAAAGGACTTTCAGAAGTGAATTCTGAATATGAGCCGACTTCTCCTTTAATAAAGACACGAAACACAGAGAGGACAGTATGGGTTAACCCGGGTCGGTCTGTGTCCTTCCCAGGTCTTTCTTGATTTAAAGACGTCCGCTCTATGAACTCTAATATTTTTTTAAATATTTTGTTCTTTTTCTCATAGCTCTATCCGAGGATCAAGCCCCGGCAGCGGAGCCTGGCCTAACCAGGATATTCATAACGTGTTGATGAGCAGAAACAGCAGACAGCCTCAACAGAAAAGGATAGTGAGCTGCCATCAACAGAGAAGGACCTGAGGAAAGGAGAGCTTCCTGGTTCCCACAGATCAAAGCACTGCTGTCCATCAGCAGCAGAACTAGATGGACAGACATGACATCAGCCTCTACTTTCATTGCTTCACTGAGGTTTGGAAGAAGGATGGAGACCAGGGGGATGATTTTTGGACTGTTTTTCTCAAAAATGATTTCCTGTAGCACGAATGGATAAACTTTTGCCTCTTAATGAGTAACATTATGTTTATTCCACTGACACATTGAAAAGGGTCACGCACAAACTACAAAAAAAATCACTATTACTGTCAGTGGGACTAAATTTGTTAAGCCTAAGGAAGTATTAACAAACAGTACCAATACACTAACGATACCTGAAACACTTCTAATTTGTTCTTGTGGGCAGCTGTGATTGTTTAAAATGATAAGAGTATGAAATGATTGTTCTGCGCTGAAGATTTGGATGAAATATCTGCAGTTCGGCATGAAAACCCAAAAGGTCTCAAATGCTTGACAATCCACTGGAAACAGACGAATCTCCAATCAACGTTGCCAGCAGCAGCTGCTGCGGACGTGCGATCAAAGTTAGGCGAGTCCTGCCCAAACAAGGACGACCTCCCACTGAGACTCATCCTGTCCGGTGACATCAGCATTGCCAATTCACTTGCTTCTGGTTTCCTAACCCTAGTTAATGTTATACGTGTGACTCTTAAGCTTGTGTTCAATTTTGACTCTTCTTCCAGTGACTTTAAAAACTGGCCAAAAAACATCATTAAACGTTTTTATATCATTTTGTACATGAGTTTTTTTTTTATCAAATCACCTTAAAAGTAAGATTTTATGTAATCTTTAATAAAGGTTAATCAAATTAGGACACAGGGATGTGAGGTTGTAAAAGTCCTCCCACTAATGTAGACGGAAGCAGATGGGGATGCTGTTCAGCACATGTCCACTAATGCTGGAGCTGATTGTTACCACGACATGTTGTTGTTTTCTCTAAACTCTGTTTGCTTCATCAGTTTCCTGGTTTCTCTGCAGTCTGAGATCCTCCTGCTTTAAATGCAGACTGAGGCGTAATGCAGAGAAATAAAGGCTCATTCTGAGCTTCCTGCTGGTTTCTGAGCTCCACCTTGATGCTTGAATGCGACACAAACAGATTCCTGCAGCAGTTTCATTCTGTCCACAGCAGTTCATCCATGCAGGGTTGATGCTCTGGAAAGGTCACAGACGTCAGAAAACATGATCTCCATAGAAACATCTTTCAGGAAGGAGGAAGGAAAGAAGAATCAGAAATTCTCAGCATTTAAAATGTTTTTATTTCAATGCTTGAAGGACAGAGAGAAGGAAAAGCTGTAAGGCTCTCTGCTGACCAGCAGTACCGGCCCTGCTGCGGTACTGTGGGTCAGCAGAGAGGAGTCGGCTGGATCTCTATTCCAACACGGACAAAAGCCTTGAAGGACATTCAACAGCAGCTTCACACAAAGTCCAGGAAAAAAGCCAAAGCTTCAGGTTTCCCCAAACAGCTGAGATGTTCTGAGGAACGGAACCAGAACTGGTTCCATTGAGCGGGGATCCATATCAGAAGAAACCGTCTGAATCTTCCTCACAGTTGGTTTGAAAAAGGCTCATGGAGGACCTGAAGCTGGATCCACAACATCTGAGGAGGTTCTGGGAGCAGAAGCTGTTTCCTCCAGCATCACCAGCTGCTGAGCTGGTACCTTCAGTCAGAACCATGGGTCCATTCTGGGCACCATCACAACCAACAAGCCTCCCTGCTAGTTGTTTCTTTATTTCCAAGTCGGACTCCTCTTCTGCGCTCGTTCTGGATCAATATGTCACCTCCTGTCAGAGCAGCATACCCATAGTCAATACCCGTTCATCCCTTTAGTTCATCCCTTTACTTTTGTACAAAAAAAGACACTTTAAACTACCTCAATGGGCGTGTATTCCTTTAGTCATGTGAAAAAAACTATTTCATTAATTACTTTTTGGTGTGTTTTGAAGCGTATGGCGATCTGACCTTAAAATGTTTTTTTTTGTACGTGACTAAAGGGATGCACGCCCGCTGAGGTAGTTTAAAGTGTATTTTTCCTACAAAACTAAAGGGTTAAATGCAAATGTGACGTCTTGCTCCTGCGTATTGACTGTAGGTACGCTGGTCTGACTATCTGGTGTAGACAGACCCTCTCAGCTCTGGATGATGATGTCATGATTCTCTTCCTGTCCTTCACTAAGAAACAGTTTTCAGCTGAACTCCTGGTCTTCACCCTTAAGCATCACCTCCCCTCACATGGCCCCCAGTGGCCCCTAGAGGACCCAACCAAAGCTTCCTCCTTTAGCTTCTTTCAATCAGAAAGTCTGTTTTCTTGGAATATTTTGCTGCCACGCAAACAGACAGTGAAGGGAGCTAGCGTAGCACAGCATCAGTCTGGTGAGACAGGATGATGAGCAGAGATGGGAGGAAGGATCAGTTAGGAGGAGCAGATCCACATGGATGCTCTGGATCGGTTCTGGTGCCATCCTCCTCCCAGCACTGCTCTGGGTTTCATCATCCTTTCCTTGTGGTTTCTGTGTGAGCGGTCAGACGTCTGAAGGGGTGCGTTCACAACACTGATGACCAGCAGACGGTGCGCCATGGGGGTGGGGGGGGTTGTTTAGGGAGGGCAGGGGGCATCCATGTGGCAGCAGATAACAGCACCTGAGCCAATGAACGGGCTCTAATAATCCTGCAGGTTCTGATCCCGGCTCAGATTCTGGTCATGGGGCAGCAGGCTTGTCACATGACCAATGCCCTTGGTGACGCCCTCTCTGAACAGCAGCTTGGCACCCAGGCGCAGATACTCTGGGTGCTTGATGAAACGAAAGCAGACGACGGCCCTTTCTCCAGTCCGAAGCTCCTCCTGCAAGCAGCAGTGAAGGGGTTAAACCTCCCTTCCTCAATGACAAACCAAACACGGCGGACTCACCGACCTTTCCATGAAGGCGCTCCACCGTAGCCGTCTGCCGGACGTTACCCACGTGGACCGTGACCTGCGAGCCGCGCCGGAAGGTCTTTGCGTGGAAGAGCAGAACGATGGCGGCTTCAAACTGGCGGCAGATAGTGGGGTTCATCCTGGGGCTGACCATCACCATGCCCTGAAACCAAGCATTTCATTCACAGTAACAGAAGCGCAGCAGACCTGCAGCTCAGCTCCCCTCCGGCTTAAAGGAAAAGTCCGCTCAGCAGGGAATAAACAATGGATCATTATCT